GGAAATGCATCCCCACCTAGGGTCACTGCCTATTCCACTAGGGCATAATCCACTTCTATCGCCCTACTTAAGAATTTACCCATCACAGACATTTGCAAGGGCACCACCTGGTCACCTGTGTGCACCTTTTCCCGGCACTGTGCTATTGTGTATGCTCCTAGGGTAGATGCAGCCATTGGCCAGGCTGTTCTCCAATCTGTAGTGAATCCGCTGCCTCAGGAGCATAAATCCTATTGACAGTAGATGTTCCTAAATCCCTTTTGAAAATGAAATTCAGGCTTCTAAATCATTTAGGTGTTGCACTGCTGAGCACAGCAATGCCTGCCTACCTACCTTTAAAATTCTGGGCCTTAATCTTTGCAGTTCATTGCACTTTTCTTTTCTTATTTATGTTTGCTGTTCACATGACCAGTCATATAGAGCTTTCATGAATTTATGTTTGTACAAATGCTGAGAGTAAGCATCTAAAGTTTCAGTTACACAGCACCTTCCATCCTTACAACCAGGGATTAACAAAGGAGATAGCATGAGGGGAGCTCCTCCTCTGTTGAGGGGGTGAGAACTGCTCAGACAGGGGATCAGAAGAGGGGTAGTTGGCAGGCCAGGTACCTGCCTGGGGCTTCCAGGCTTCCTGCCAGTGGGTGGCACAACAGCCTGATGGGAGAAGTGTCCCAGCTGGGAGGCACCTATCCACCTGTTCCAAAGAGAGTTCTGTTCCCCTGCTGGCTTCTCCTCCCATCCAGAGATGATGACAGATGGAGATGATACATACACTTGGTGCAATGTCTTGTCTGAAATAACGTATTTCCCAACTTTCCTGTTTAAAAACCTCCAGGACCTGCTATTTTTATTCCTTTTGACATCCGTGCAGGTTCTTCACCCTGGTCAAATCTAAATAGTGGCACTGGGTGGGACCAATAAGCTGCGTGCATGCGTGTACACACGCAGACGCATACTTTGGCTCGGTTGGCTGCAGGCCTGCTGCTTGGGGACATAAACTGCTTTCACACACATTCCTTCTCATTTCCCCCCGAAGGAAATAGACTGCACGGTGATGGGCACGATATAAAACCAGGTAGATAAATTAGATAAATGGTTCCTAATCTCTTCCCACGTGCTGCATCTCATCGCTACAAGATGATGATGCAACACTTTATTACCATGTAACATCAAGACCTTTGATGATAGCTATCAAAACTGGTGAGCTTCCCCTCCTATTTAGATCTTCTTTAAGCACTGGTTACAGCACAGCAATATGCATTTATGCAGTAACTATACATGGATCATACCATGTATGTCCATTTGGAAACCACCCTCAATTAGAAGCCTCACCTTTGCCATAGGTGTTGCAGGGGGAAAGTAATCCAAACAAGGACAGCTTATATTTAATTATTTTCCCTTTTGGCTCAAATGGTAGAGGCTCAGCTGCTAATTGAAGGTGGCTATTTAAAGCTGGTGGGTAATGTAATTAAATTGAACAGAAGCTGTGGTTTCTAAGTGAATGTATACAGCATGTGTGTGCTTATGTACAAAATAAGCATTTGGCACTATGTTAGAGGTTATAAATAGCTTTAGTAAAAGCTGTTTTTTCAAGACGCTGCTGTATCTTTCCAGACCTTTCTGCTTCCACCACATGATGGCAATAAAGGCACAACACACAGACCGTGGTGAAAAGCAAACAGGCCACAACTTTATTTGTAATCCGTGCATCTGGTACCAGGCAATTCAACCTGTCAGGTCATAAAATGCCAGCCCCTTTAAGGTTTTAAGGCACCCTGTGTGCCGGACATAAACACGTATTTATGGCTTAAGCTATGAGTCTCACACATTCCCTTTCCTTGTCTAAAGAATTGAGCTTTGCACAATTATTAAGCAATGAGGAAGCTGTTCAATCCACAGTCTGGGAGCCAAGAAAGGTTAGAAATCCAGCCAGTCTCAACTGGATTCTGCCACACTCCTTCCAAGCTTTAAGTTCTGTAGTTTTTGAAACCACCTCTCACTTGAGGTGCAGCAAGATGCTGCTACTTGTGAGGCAGAAGCCTGCATTTATTGGGACAAGTTAATCACCAGTGTAGCTCCATTGAAGTTAACGTATTTATACCTGGTGTGAGTCTTGACCATTGTGCATAAATATTTCCTGTACTGTAAGAGCAATAGCATGGAGAACTAAAATCTAAAAATAAAATGTTTTAAAACACGCCTTGAAGCACAATAAGCTTGAAATTAAAATGTATTTGTTAGTAAACAAAATTTTAGTAGGCATTTTTGCACATTAAATCTTTTGTTTGCTATATAGAAAGAATATGGAAAATTAAGCACTTTTAAAATTCACAATACTTTTTTAATGCTCAATTTTTATTTTAAGTGGCGCCATGATGCAGATTGTAAGTGTGATGTGAGAGGCATATTCTGCACCTTGGGGAAAATGCAGAGATTTATGTAAAAATCTTAAACTAAAATGCATTCTGTATTTAAGAGAAATACTACAAGTATTCTGCAGTACTCATCCCAGTTAGCAAATCCTTTGCTTGCAGCGAATAGTATCTTACTCCACAAGTAGCCCCATTGAAATCAGTGGGTCTGTTTGTGAAGGGCTCTCAGCCTGGCCCTTAACTTACTGTGGTTTTTGGGCTATTGCTGTGGAATGCTTTTGTATTATATTTAATGAGTGACAGAAAATGTTTTAAAGGGGCTAAAATGCTAATGTACAAGCAATGTTACCATGCAACTTCAAAGATCCAGAATTCTGCTGTCACATACAAATATAGATCCCAGGAGTCAGAGGAGAAGCAACAGCCAATCACACAACTGGGAGACCCCCAAAGCGCTCAGTGAAGTTTGAGCCACCATCTCCAATTCTGCCCCTGTTCTTTGTGGCTGGTCAAAAGCAGTTAGGAGACTGTGGACCCTGTGCTGACAGAGATAATCACCGCCTCTTTCCGTGAAATCGATCTTCCTGCCACTCTGAAATGCACAGTGGTCTAGCGTTGCTGCCTGACTAAGCCCGGGCAAGATGGAAGCGGTGATAGTGGGAAGAGGAACCTTTGGAAGAATAGGCCAAAATCAACCTCCTGAGCAATCAATCACCTGGTGCTCAGCATGCTGTTTTGACTCTGTCCAATACTGGCCACAATCTGCAACTTGAATCCTGACTGTCAAGGCCCGAAATGGACTTGGCCTTTGCTATTTTAGGGATCACATAGATCCCTAAGACCACAAGCAACCACTATAGTCATCAGGAATGGTGGAGCCCTGCTGCTACTACCCTGATGGGGGCCATATAGATATCTAGACAGATACTCTTGCTGTGGTAAGCTAAGACTCATCGGGGCAGGGACTAGACCTTCTCAGCAGCAGGAACTCCCTTCCATCACAGTGATCCTGAACCGCACGAGTTTTGAGGTCAGATGCAAGATTCACCACCTGGGCATTGCTTTCCCTATTAGCAATCCAAACATAGCTCAGTATAGACAGATGCAGGAAGAGACGAGAGAAGGAAAAGTGAAGCAAGAGAATTAATTTTTAAAATTTCTAAATCCACTCCAATAGATAGTACAGTCTTCTTGAGTACTTGTATGCTCACATAAGCTTTGATAGCCTTTGCATTCCGTAGTGACGAGTGAATTATAAATACATAGATATGCATATATGTGCTGTGCACCTGGGATTAGACTCCAGGGCTAAAGACTGCCCAAAGATGAAAGATATTGTAAATGTCCTTGTCTTTCATGTTCAAACTAAAGGAAGCTAGAGCAGTAAGTCTCTGGGCCAGATTTCTGACCTGGGACACATGCATGCAAATCCCAGTGGTTACAATGAGATCTTGGGCCACGTATCTAAAGGCTGAATTTTGGCTTCTAATTATTTATATTCATATTCAAAATATGTATTATAAAGACCTTTGGCTGTGGCTCTGTTTCTCTCTTGGGAACCCCTTTAATCGTTTGAGACCGTGGAAGCGTTTCGCCTGATTTCAGAAATATATATATAAATTAGTTCTTGTTATTTCCTCATTGATGCTACAACTGAGCCATTGACAGGGATGGCACAGTTAAAATGGAGAATATCTGTGGCTGAACTTCTTTTGTACATTGAAAGCTGTAGCTGTAGAAGCATTTTATAAAAGCAGGTGTTTCCTGTGAGTGACTACTTGCTGTTCATCTCCTGAAATTACTGGATGAAAGCCAGAGTCAAGCTAGTTATGTGCAGGTTTTATTAACAACTTGCAGAGCCAAAAAGGTTATCTGAGATAAGAAGGTAGGTTAAAGATAAGCAATGCTGTCTGGAATCACTCTGAATTAATAACTAATGGGTAACATTCTGAATGATTTGTTGTTTCTGATGCTGCTGAAAGCAATTGGCTGAGGTCAGCCACAGAAAGGAATCAATTCTGACTGTGTTTAACAGATGTTTTCTAGGATTCTTAGCTGATTAGAAAATCCATAGATTTGTTAAGTCTTAAAGGCAATGTTGAAAGACTTGGATAATGGGAGCATGTAGAGTGTTTCACGATGCAGATGCATCCCTGATTCATAAGAGAGTTTATGTATATATTCCATTGGGGATATGCACATTGGCAAAATACTGAAATCATCTGAACAGAGTTTGGTAGGAGAAAACAAATAGCAGACAAAGTCTTGGGAGACTGGTGTTCAATCCCAAACTTGGTACGTCTTGTGCTCCAAGGCCAGTAGGGGACTGGGGAGAGCTGTGAAGGCAGCATGTTCAGCCCTTACATGAGGAGGAGTCTCTATTGACCCCATCTGGCCAATTTGAGGACTAGCAGTAATGTATTTTCAAGGGAGAGGTATCCCGCCTTTCTCTGGTGTCCTTGACACTGGGTCTTTGAAGTGGGGAAGAATGTGAGTGACTGTCATTTCTTTAAGAGCGTCCTGGAGGATGCCTTCCTCTGGGGGAAAGAGTACGTGGGTTGCACACACAGAAGCAGCATACAATATGCACACACATAGTGATTACCTGTCTACATTTGCATTTTGTAGTTCAGTAGAGAATGGGAGACCTCCTGACCCTGCTGACTGGGCTGTCACTGATGTCGTAAATTACTTCAGAACAGCAGGATTTGAAGAACAAGCCAATGCTTTTCAAGAACAGGTAAATCGGATTGGATTGACTGTCACTGCCCTTTGACTCCTCACATTTTCATTATACGGGCTGGTTGTACAAAGGTTAGTGCATGGTAAGTCTCCTAGAAAGGGAACATTCTGGGTGGCAACCGCTGGGGTTATTATCTTTAAACAATATCCTCATTTTACAGGACATGCACTGTAGCTGGAGGAAGGCTGCTCTTGTGATCTAAGCATTAGACTGGGACCTGAAGAATCTGAGCTCTATTCCTGGCTTGGCCACAGCCCTTTCTGTGTGAACTCAGGAAAGTCACTTAAACGCTCTGTGCCTAAGCTTCACCATATGTAAAATGGGAATAGTACTTCCCTACCTCTTAAGTTCAGTTGCGTGCTGCTTTGTTGCCTGGGAGTCTTGCTCTCTTGGCTTGAGGAAAGGTTCCTTGATTAAAGTCATTACAAGTAATCGGGAAACAGAGAAATCAATGTAGGGGGAAAAGCAGTAGCCTTCTTGCATAGCAACAGCACATTGCTCTGCTACATGAACATAAGAACGGCCATACTGGGTCAGACCAAAGGTCCATTTAGCCCAGTATTCTGTCTTCCACAGTGGCCAATGCCAGGTGCCCCAGAGGGAACAGAATAGGTAGTCAAGTGATCCGTCCACTGTCGCCCATTCCCAGTTTCTGGCAAACAGAGGCTAGGGACAACCATCCCTGCCCATCCTGGTTAATAGCCAGTGATGAACCTATCCTCCATGAACTTATCTAGTTCTTTTTTGAACTCTGTTATAGTCTTGGCCTTCACAACATCCTCTGGCAAAGAGTTCAGCAGATTGACTGTGCGTTTTGTGAAGAAATACTTCTTTTTGTTTGTTTTAAACCTGCTGCCTATTAATTTCATTTGGTGACCCCTAGTTCTTATGTTATCAGAAGAAATAAATAATACTTCCTTATTTACTTTCTCCACACCAGTCATGATTTTATAGACCTCTATCATATCACCCATTCGTTACCTCTTTTCTAAGCTGAAAAGTCCCAATCTTATTAATCTCTCCTCATACGGAAGCTGTTCCATACTCCTAATAATTTTCTTTGCCCTTTTCTGAACCTTTTCCAAGTCCAATATATCTTTTTTGCAACGGGGCGACCATATCTGCATGCAGTATTCAAGATGTGGGCATACCATGGATTTATATAGAGGCAATATGATATTTTCTGTCTTATTATTTATCTCTTTCTTAATGATTCCCAACATTCTGTTTGCTTTTTTGACTGCCTCTGCACATAGAGTGATCCACATTGAGTGGATCACTATCCACAATGACTCCAAGATCTCTTTCTTGAGTGGTAACAGCTAATTTAGACCCTATCATTTTATAAGTATAGTTGGGATTATGCTTTCCACTGTGCATTACTTTGCATTTATCAACATTGAATTTCATCTGCCATTTTGTTGCCCAATCATCCAGTTTTGTGAGATCCCTTTGTAGCTCTTTGCAGTCTGCTTTGGACTGAACTATCTTGAGTAGTTTTGTATCTTCTACAAATTTTTCCACCTCACTCTTTATCCTTTTGTCCACATCATTTATGAATATATTGAGTAATACTGGACCCAGTACCAACCCATGGAGGACACCACTATTTACCTCTCTCCATTCTGAAAACTGACCATTTATTCCTACCCTTTGTTTCCTACCTTTTAACTTTTTAACTGATCCATGAGAGGCTCTTCCCTCTTATCCCATGATAGCTTACTTTGCTTTAGAGCCTTTGGTGAGGGACCTTGTCAAAGGATTTCTGAAAATCTAAGTACACTATATCCACTGGATTCCCCCTTGTCCACATGCTTGTTGACCCCCTCAAAGAATTCTAGTAGATTGGTGAGGCATGATTTCCCTTTTCAAAAACCATGTTGACTCTTCCCCAACAAATCATGTTCATCTATGTGTCTGACAATTCTGTTCTTTACTATAGTTTCAACCAGTTTACTTGGTACTGAAGTCAGGCTTACCGGCCTGTAATTGCCTTGAGAAAGATGTTGGATCTTCACTAGTTGGGCTGCTGGAGAGGAGGCACAAGACACTGGTATGCTTTTTATCTCAGGGGAAACAAGGTGATGGCTGGAACAGCCTACTCCTACAGCATTTCTGCCATCTGAGTAGAAGCAGTGAAGCCAAAGGTGACACTTCCCCCTTGGATGAAAGGTTCCACAGTAGCTGTCTTGATGTGACAGGGAAGGATCAGTGAAGAAGAATCAATGAAAAAGGTAGCCAGGGACTGATCACTCAGTAAGCTGTTAATGCAATATGGATCCTTTCTCCTACAGGTCACTGTTTATGGTTCAGTACCGACAAAAGTCACAACAAGGACCTAAAGTCCATGTGGAATGAGTTTGGTGTATCTTGTATCGAGTGGACAAGCATTCACATAACCATCATCATCATTACTGGTATTGACTGACACACTTGCTGGCAGTCTGTCAGCTGTGAGGTTAATGACTGAATGGATCATTGAAACTGGGCTACTTGCACACAGCTGAGGAGCCGCAGTGGGGCAGTGAAGGGAAATTTGCATTAGAACTGCCCATGATGTGGCTGCCTCTTTTGTAGCAAGAGACCATACATCTACAGGTCTGTTAGTCTGGCACCGTTCCTGATCACTGAGACCCAAATGTTCAAACTTGGGTGCTCAAAGTTAGGCACCAAAATTCATATTTAGGCACCTAGATAATTGCCCTGATTTTCCAGAATGCTGAGCAGTCATAACACAGGGTCAGTGACATCTGTGGGTGTGTAGTACTTCTGGAGATGAGGCCTTAGTGCACCCAAGTTTGAACACCTGGGCCAAAATGTCTTTTAACAAAAGAACAAATAAATAACAATGTTTTCTTCTGTGAAAATCTTCTCTCCATAATGAAGATATGGGAATGTACCTACTTGGAAACAGTTTTATTTTTATTCTCTGCATCCTTCGAGGGGAAGTTTTTCTTAAAAGCTGCTTATTTCATTTAGTTCAGGATTTGATAAATTACAAAATATTGGCCAGATAAAAATTATAGCTGTAAAAACTGCATAGTAATAATCTCTTCCTGACATTCTATTTTCTTTGCTTGATTTTTACAATTTTTGCAAAATTAATGTTTTTTGCAGCTGATAAGAACAATTTTGAAGGGGAGGATAGAGATCTGGAATCTTTTTATATATGTAACATATGTATATGTAACATATATATATAAATAAACCATTTTTTTTAAAATCATGCAATTCAGCAACCATCTTTTTAATTTGGCTTAAAAGATATATTTATAGCATGCATGTTTTAGCAAATATTTAACAGATTTCAGGACCTGTAGGTTGCCTCTTTGCCTGTTACATTCTGATGTACCTGAAATCTTTGCACTAAAAGACTTTGGACATTTAATGGTGATGGTTCTAAACTTTGATACAAAACTTCTGTCTCTCACCCCACCCATCCATCCTTTCAGCACCTCCATAAGGTGTTTCAAACGTTGCAGCTCTAAACTTTTCCTCTCACAGACAAGAAGCCTATCAAAATTCTGTTCTAGCCTTCTTTATTTGGCATAGAGCCGTCCAGTGCTAAAATGAAATGCAGGCTTTCCAAAAAAAAAAAAAAAAAAAAAAAAAAA